CCCCGGGGACCCTCGAGGCCCGGCCACGGAGCCCCGAGCCCCGGCGCGCGGCGGCCAGCCGAGGGTCCCAGGGCCCTACGCCTGACCCCTGACCCTTGCCCCGGAAGTGGGGTGAGTCGGAAGTTCCGGCTCAGTCGCTAGGAAACCTGCCAACTGGGCGCGAGGGGTGGGGCTTCAGGCCGGGCGGCGGGTTGGGAGGCAGGTGAGGCAGGTGAGACAGGTGACTCCACGGCGGCCACCCCTGAACCCGGGGTGGAGCTGCGCCCTAAAATCGGGACTCCCTGGGGACCCCGCAAGCACGCCGACACTCACAGGGACAGGTCACCTGGCTGTGTCCTCCCGTGGACAGGGATCCCCCACGCAAAGGGAACTCGACGCACCTCCCAGTCCTCCCCGGCACACCGACCCCACAAGCAAGGGGACCCGCAAGTTCTGACCCCCGCAGGCAGAGGATCCCAGTGCCTGGCGCAACAGTGTCCGCGAAGGCGCGGCCCCCCATGCCATCCCGCGTCAGTTCCGCCTAGCACCGCAGGTCCACTCTCCCAAGCCAGTTCCCCTCCGACCTTCCCCAGGCTCCTCGCCGCCGCTGGACGAGCCCGGCCTCAGAACTGCACGTCCAGTCACCTTGGCCTCTCCGGGTCCCCTGCTCTGCTCCCAGCTCACCCTGCCTGTCCCCCACCATGCTGTTCTGTCCCTGCTTACCCTGTCTGCCCTCCAGCACCCTGTCTCCCAGCACTCTGTCTGCCCCCCAGCATCCTGCTCTGCCTGACCCCAACACGCTGTCTGCCCCCCAGCACTCTGCCAACCTGGTCTGTCCAGCACCTTGACCCTTCCTGTCACGGGCAGGCACTCTGCCACTCTGGAGTCACTCCCCTCCCTGCGCCTGGAGATTTGCTTCACTTGGTGCTGAGGACACAGTCATGGAGTCAGACCAGTGCTCCACCATCAGCAGGGGGCTGTGAGGGGCTCTGGGGAAGAGCCTGAGGGCCAGGAGAGAGGGATGCCTCCCTCAGAAGCAAGCTGAGGTGAACTGGCCTCACCAGGAAGGGCGGTCCTCTGGCTGCCAAGCACATGTGCCCCAGTCACAGGGGAACTTGAGCAGAAGAGGGGTTTGCCCCTCCATGGGCCCCCTGTGAGACCAGGCGAGTGAGCTGGAGGCACTGGCGTGCTGAGCTGAGGGTCATAAGCACCCTTCCTTACCCACAGGAAGATGAGCACTAAGAAGCGGGAGTCCAGAGCAGCACTGAGGAGGGCGCAGAAGGTGGGTCCTGGGGCCAAGCCAAGACATACTGCTGGTGAGTGCACCCTCTGACCTCCAGGGGACCCTCCTCAAATACACACTGACCTGGAAGACCCTCTCTGTATCCCTCATGGATGGACACCCCCTCTAGAAAGCTGTCCCCAGAGAGTGACCTGTCAGGCCTCCACGGGTGTGACACATGTGCCTTTTGGACCCCAATCCTGAGAATTTGTTCTCCTGATGCCGGGTGGGAGGCGGGGACCAGCATTCTAAGGAGCATAGCTTTAGAACACATGGAGATGGGAAGGACAGGAGTGGACGGAAGAGGCCAGCGTGGACCACGTCCCTGTTCCTGAACAGGCAGTGTGTGGTCAGCTCAGAGCCTCTGCCCGCCCTGGCCCAGGCTGCACTTTCCCCTATTGCTGCTTCTCCCTCAGGAACCCCTCTCCATCATCATTTTCAGTTGCAACAGTTACAATCCTGGAGCACATCTCACTGTGGGCCAGGAAGGGGGTTCACTCCACACACCCCACTCCTTTGCCCCCTTTTCCCCACCTCATCAGTCATCACCCCCTCCTCTGAGAAGC